AATATTAATATGTATTTACGCTTTACTCTCAAGTCAGGTATGTCTTCACTAAACCAAATTTATTAAATATTACCTCATTAAAAGAAAAAATAGAGACAAATATAAAATAAGAGGAAATTATTATGCATAGAACTATCATGAATTCATTGTTTGAGATAGGTTTATTATCATTACGAAAATATATAATTCAAAGACAAGGTCAAGGTCAGTTTTTATTTATTTATTATTTTATTAATTATTAACTAACTATTCTAACTATTATGAGTTTTTCCAACTACTTTTTTAAGTTAAGGAAATTATAATGTTATTATACATGTTAAAGATTCAATTATCTAGCTCTCCAATTTCTTAAATGTAAATTAAAGATAAACAACCTTTCTTTTGAGAATAATTAATGAATGATTTGAATTCAGAATTAAAGAAATATTACAATTTAAAATGTTAGGAATAATATTTCTTGGTAATTTCTGCAAGTTAATTATTTTATGGAAATTATATGACCAATCAATAAAGCTTTCGCCATGTTTTTCTTGTTTTCTTTTTCATTAAAGATTATTTAACGAAAAGATCTGCACGGAATTTAGCCAATCAAAATTTCTTTTCATAACGTCGATCATTACAGGGTATTATCCCTGGTTGAATTTAACCAATCAGAATTTCTTCTAGAATTTTTCATACAATCGATCATTACGGTATTTAGTATTTCCATCTATGGAAATATCCCTGACTGCATTAGCAGTGTTGAAATTTCGTTGTGTAACTATTACAAATTTAGAAACTATATATATATATATATATATTCAAAAATTAAAATTTTGATTGGTGTGTAATGTTACTCCTCACATTCCCCACACTGGATTTTCAACACTAATCATTAGCCAATCAAATCAAATTTCACGTGATATCTTGGTGACAATTTTTAACCAATCAAATATGATCGACGAAAATGTCCACTATGCTACACAAATTTGATGTAATTATCCAATTATTCAGTAAACAATATCAAATATGTATAAATACGGCTTTGATTTTAAAAAAATTCAAAAAAAAAAATATATATTATTATATTATATATTTATTGTAAATATACATAAATGAATATTAATACGAAAAAAACAAATCATTTATTGATTTTAAGATTATTTCAAATTTTATTCTCAATTATAGCATTTGGATTAGGTAAATAACTGATATCAATAACTGATAATTGATATAATGGATATTAATTTTCTTATTTCCACACAGAAATAACGCAAATAGTGTTTTGGGTATTATTACATAAGTCAGTTATTGTTACATATTATACTACTTATTATTATAATAAAATTCGATAGTAAGTTCCTTTTTTATTATTTCAATCTCTCAAATTACATATTTAATTACTGTTTTTTTATTTATTTTTTGTTCTATTCATTAACCATGTTAATAGTTATTATGCAGTGAAATGGCTTTATTTTACAGTTGTCATTACGTCTGTGCTGATCATAGGTAAATTAATTAAATAATGACAATGATGATGATAATGGTTAATGATTATTATGATTTAATGACGATAATAATTAATTAATGATTATTTTTTATTATTAGGATATTTTATTATATTTTATAAGAAAAGATTAAAAAGTGGTCCATATAAAAAAGATTATTTTATTGACAGGTAAACAGTTTATTTAATTAGAGATTTCTTGTTTTTAGTCAAAGCATTTAATTAATTCATTAATTAATCAATGATTCAATTTTTTTCTAAAAATTATAATCATCTAGTGGACTATTCGTTGTATGGATACTTACAAGTATGTCTTGCTTTTTTGTTTTTTCGAAAAATCACAAATTAAATTGCAATTAAATTAATTCACTTGTATATTTTTTTTTTCAATCAATTAAAGGTATCAATTATAAATCAACAACTTATCAGAAATTAACAGCACTTCCAATACAATGCGCAGAAATCAGCTCAGTTCCTACTGAATATTCAATCTTATGTTACATGTACACCATATGTATGATTCTAAATTTCTTCATAGCTGCTAGTTACATATTATCATTCGTAATTTCTTTTCATTTATACCACTATCATCATCAATGCCATGATCAAGCTTACAAAGCAATAAAGAATAACAGAGAAGAAGATGATAAAATTTTTTGAAAAAATCATTTTATTTGAGTTTTGATTTTTAATTATTAATATGTATAATATAATATATGATTGACATCATTATGTGATTATTACAGATAATAAATATACTATTTAAACTAGAAAAAATAAAATTATTCCATATAATTTTTGAATTCTTATAGTAAATAAGATATGGATGTTTATTCGGATCAACCTCTCCAACCACTGATACCAATACTAGTAATTCATTTCAATCACAAGAAGAACATAAATTAAAAATGGCAAAACAAGAACAAGAACACAGCAACAAAAAGGACAACAACGATGGCAACATTGCCACAATAATTATCAACAAGGACATCATAATTATCGACAGCAACATCAACAAGGACAATATTCATCAGCTCAACAACAATCTCAATCAACACATTCTCCAGCCTATTAACTTTCCTTCAAATTCATCATCACCATATCCTTATAACTCAGTAACTTTGCCACAGCAACAACCACCTTCATTCAACCAAAATATCAATAAAAAAGATTATAGTTTATAATCATTTCAAAAGTATTTATCATTTTTTTCTTAAATTGCTTAATTTTATTATGGTCATTCATAATAATAAATAAAAATATATTTAATTAGATCAAAAAACAATGATAAACAAATTAAATAACTCAGAAGAGCCATATGGTAATTATTATAATCATAATAATAATAAGGAATTTCTCATATATCACATTAATAATTTTAACTTTTAATCAAGGAATGCAAATTGCTGATGGCAAAATGAAAATGAGTTCTGGTTTACTTAAATTTGAAACTATTTCAGATTTAGGAATTTATAACACATCTTCTATAAACCAAGGAATTGTAAAAATTAAAAATTGAATTCCAAATTATAAATTCCATAGATGTTTATTATTGGTGATGAAGTTTATGATGATAAAATTTTTCTGATAATAAAGTTTTTCTTCTATATTTTGAATCAAATTTCCACATTACCATCAACAATCCACGAAACAAAAAAAATGTCAAATGTAAATGTTCCACTACATAAAAAACTTGCAAACAATCCTAATATATTTCCAATAACCCTTTGCAATAATTTGGAAATAGTGATGCTAAAAAATTTTTGAATAATAGCCTAATTCTTTAAAACTTTCATTAAATATTTGATGCCACCTAAATTCAAAGTCAAATAGATATTATAAATAATTTAAAAAGATTTAGAGTTAGAAGTTATATCTATGCATGTGCATGTGTATGTATGTATACGTACCCTTCACTCCATAAATCTTTTGGGTTTGATGATAATCATGCTTTATTAAATAATGGCTCTGATTCAAATAATGTCCTCCTCAACCAATTCCTAATCCTTGCTATTATTGTTGTTGTTTTTAATAGAAATCATTGAAGAGATACAGAGAAAAGAATATTTGCAATATTATTATTATTGGTATTATTAGTAGCATTTAATAATAATAACAATTTATTTGTGATTGGTGATGAAATATTTTCCATGAACCTGCTGATATTAAGAGAAGTTGTTCATAAATAGAATTCATATTAATATATAGAAATATACTATATAATAATATTGTTGATTAAGTAACAAATGATGCAGATGCTGATAATGATATGTGATCTAATGTTTGATCCATTAGGAGCAGTTGTGATGGTGGTGATGATGATGCCAATTTAATGATGCAGTTATATAGTCCATTATTCTCAGA